ACACTATGTGTGGATGCAGCCTAGGGTTTTTTTCTTGGGGAGTTCAAATCTGAGTTGATGTGCTTGGCAAATACCTGGGACTCCCACACGCACCTCGGGATAAGTTTGCTTTTTTTTCAGAACAGTGCTAAGTCCCCCACAAACCTGACAAAGGGCTGCAAAGACACAGATCAGGTAGTTTTGATTAGTTCATGATAGAACAAAGTAGCTGCTGAGCTAAAATGATGTTATTCTTTAGGTCAGGGTCAGGTTTGTGAAGAAAATAGTCAAATAGCGTGTATATAGGACAGAAAGGTCCTTTGCAGATCCAGATACACAAAGCTGCATGATGTTTAGCTTGGCTTCTCCCATTATTGCTTATTTTTGACATTTAAAATTTAAACAAGTTTCTTTGAGTCAGGCACAAGGTCTTTCTACATCTTCGGTGAGCATGGGTGACCGGTGCCTCCTGGGTCAGGGAGGGCACTTGCACCCCAGGCAGGCAGTTAGCAACCAGGGGGGGCCTCCACAGCCAGTTGCGCTGACTGGGGGGTGGGAGGGGTGGGGAGGTACCCCTGTAGCTGATCATGCCAACCCAGAAGTGCCAGCAGCGCGCCCAGAAGGGCCAGGTGCTGGCACTTCACCTGGCACCCCCACTCCCTGGCCAGCACTCTGTGGGGGCACCAGTGCTTCTGCCTGCCCCCCCGCCCATCACCTAAGCAGGTAATGTTGGCTGTCGGGGTGCACCACCACTCCCAGGGGCTGCACGTGCAACCCTGTGCACCCCCTATGCATCGCCACTGTCTGTGAGCATATTTTTGCACCTCTCAGAAGCATAGAGTAGGGCTGGAAGGGACCTCTAGTGGTCACCTAATCCAAGCCCCAGCCTAAGGCAGGATCATCCCTATCGAAACCATTCCATACAAATCCATGGTTAACCTATTCCTAAAACTGTGAGACCAACCCTGTCCCACAACCTGCCACCTAGCTTCTTTTTTTTAGGACAAAAATTGGTGGTGGGGAGGGAATGCTAAACAAAATGTCTTGCTGCTCCAGAGCAATTTGCATTCAACCTCCCAGAAGTTTAGGTGACCACTGATAATTCTACAAGACTTTATAAGGTATTGAATCCCTCTTCAGTAATCCCTCGAATCCCTCCCTCTTTTCAGTAATTGCCTAGAGCAGGCGTTCACTATCCCCGGGCCACAGCCCAGTGCAGGTCTGCAGCAAGGTCGGCTGCTGGACCGGAAGTGGCTGTAGACTGGCAAGCCGCAGCCCCCCAGAGCTGGCCAGAGAAGCTGTGGCTCCTGCAGGGCCCACAGCAGCGCAGGGTTTGGCCCACCCACCCCATCGCCCAGGGGTGGGGGTATCCTTACCTGTTTGCCAGCTGGAAATTCTGGCCACAGTTAACTGTGACTGCTGGGTCACGGTTTGCTGCGCTGCGGCCACTTCCGGGCCACAGTTTGCTGGGCTATGGCATAAAAACTTCAGGATCCCCTGGCCTAGAGTCTCTGAAGATAAGGCTACTAGTGAGCCTTGTGATGCTGCTAACAAAACCAAGCTCTTTCCCACTCTACATGCTTCTCACCCAGTATACGCAGGGGTGGCCTCAGCTGCCACTTGAGACAGGGGTGCTTGCCCCTGGGAGCACTCAGCAACTCTGTTTTGGGTTTGGAGCATGTGGAGCAGAAGGGGGCAGGCAGAGGTCATTTTTCAGTGGTAGCCTCAAAACTAGCACAGAGTGTGGGCAAGCAGACCCGGAAAGTCTTCTGAATAGGTCACCCACCTGAACCACTGAAGTGAACACGGCTGTCTGACCAGCATGAAACAGCACCTCGGATGCAAGTTGTTGATGCTTGAGCAGTCAGGAAGAAAGTTTTGCTTCCCCTAGCGCAGGGGTCAGCAACCTATGGCCTATAACATGGGCAGATTTTGAAAAGCCGGGGGAAGGAGGGGTACAAATAGTGTGTGAGGTACATCATCACATATGACATAACGGATAGTTTTTTCCAGTTAGTGAGAAACTAATATGTGAGGGGTGTAGTGCTATACAAGAATATCTTTCGGAATGTGCTCTAATTTGCTACATTATATATAGAGTTTTAAAAAAAACCCACAAAAAAGAGATGCAAAAAGGTCAAAAGATATTGCGTCGTTAGTCCTGTAGTCATTATAGTTAAATGCATCTCTTATTCAGATCCATAATACAAGCTTAGCTTTCTTGACTGTTCAGTACTTCACTGTCAGCCGTTTCTAAACTTGAATGGTTCCCCTGCTTTACTTGTGGCAGGTTAGGGTGTAATGTCTTGTGTTGTGTTAGGGTTGATGGTAGTTTTACAATGAGTTCAGATGATGGATTTGTACAGAATGGTTTGGATAGGAATGATCCTGCCTCAGGCAGGGGGTTGGACTAGATGACCTCTCGAGGTCCCTTCTAGCCCTTCCTTTCTAGGTTTCTATGGACATCTATACTAGGGCTGTTTGAAATGGCTGTGTTTCAATTCAGTTTCGGATGCGGCCATTTCGGAGGACAGTGATTTGTTTTGGTGTTTCAAATCACCGTCCTGTTTTATTTCAGCCAAATCTGTTTCAAATGGACTGCAAGAGAAGGGAAGCTTTACACAGCCCTATCCAGCTGGGTGCGGCTTGGGGCCATGGGTGGCTCATCGGGGGAGGGCCACTGCCCTCCATGCAGGTGAGGAGACCTCCAGCATGGATCTCTGCTCCCTGTGGAGCCAGGTTGTACAGCAGGGCAATGCTTGTCCCTGCCACATGATCTGGCTCCACGGGGAGCGGAGATCTGGGGCTGCACAGGGCAGGCAGTGACAGAGAGGAGACCACGGTGTGGATCTCAGCTCCCTGCAGAGCCAGGTCACGCAGCAGGACAATGCTTGTCCCTGCTGCCGTCTCCTCGCTGCCAAGGAGGGAGCAGAGATCCGTGCCAGGGTCTCTTCACCGCTGCTGCCCGGCCCACGCAGCCTTGGATCTCTGCTCCCTGCAGAGCCAGGTTGCACGGCAGAGCAGGACTCATCCTGCCGGGGTCTTCTCACTGCTGAGGAGGTAGCAGAGATCTGCACCAGGGTCTCCTCCCCACTGCTGTTCACCCCACGCAGCTCCAGATCTTTGCTCCCTGTGGAGCCAGGTCGTGTGGCAGGGACCAGACTGGACTGGACTGGACCAGCACTGCACTGCCCTGCCCTGCCCTGCCCCACAACCTGGCTCTGCAGGGAGCAGAGATCCACGCAGGCGGGGCTCTTTGCCGCTACTGCCCGCCTCATGCAGCCCTGGTGCTGATCTCTGCTCCCTGCAGAGTGGAGTTGTGCGGCAGGGCAGCAGTGTACAGTTTGTTCCCTGCAAGCCCAGCTCCGAAACTCCACAATTTTCCAAAACCTTTTGGATGCCTCATTTTGTTTTGGAGATACCTACTATGAAGCTATGTTTCTGAGCCTTCCATTTCGATTTCGATTTGGCATTTCAGGCGCCAGAACGGCCTGAAACACCTCCAAAATGAAACGGCTGCTGAAATTCTGCAGAGCCCTAATGTATACACACAACAGCACATAGCAGAGCAAACTCTATGAGTCCAGTCTGCTGCAAGTCTGCTGAAGCGTGCCAATTAGCGTACTCCAGCAGCCTCTGCATCACATATTTAGCATCCCTGTTTCAAAATGGCAGCGAGGGTGCTTAACTAAAATTTGGCAAACGAGCTTTAGTTAAAGTGCCCCCACCGCCATTTTGAAGCATTGGACATTGAATATATGTGATGCTGCAGGTGCTTTAATTCGAGTGGCTCTCAGCACCACCCTAATTAAAGTGTGCCCCCCTCCACCCTAGAGCATGTGTATAGATGCCCTATATTATCACACCCGAGTTAAGGGTTTTAGCTAGAAGTAAAAACAGTGTGAAGGGCTGTGAAATAAAAGGGGCACATTACCTAGAATGGCAAAAGAAAGCAAAATTGCAGAATAAAGGATAAATTATTTAGTGGAACATCAAGCCCATTAAAAAGGAGAAGGTCATTAACATTTTAGAAGATTAGCCTGAATCAGGGGGATGACACTGCATCATGAAGTCAATTGAGTCTCAGCACTACCTGAATAGAAATGCTGCTCCCCCTCCCAGGTTGCTGGTTTTAAAGTTTAAATGGAGCAAGAACCAAAGGGGAGGAGGGGAGGGGAGGGGAGGAAGCTGCACCACTGTACCCCCCCCACTTTGCCCCCCCCCC